CGCAGTCGCTTTTTTTCTCTTAAGTCGTACGTCCTATTGCGTATAATCGATGACCAAATTATTCAACCAGTATTGTATAACACCTATTTAATCGACATATAGGTATGGCTAATACTGCGTGTACTGTATAATTAATAACATAATGATGTCTCGAGAATTAAACGTTTTGAAAAATATTTCTTTTAGATCGGACCACATGTACCTATATAGGTACTATATACTGCGGTTGCTTAATTTATTTCAATATTAAATATTAATGTAAATGGAGGTATAAACCAGCCAAATACAATAATAATATTATAATATAGTACCAAATGAATATATTATAATTATAATTGAAAACGTCGAGTGGCGCTTAAAGGGTATAATATAGTTTACCTACTACAGTGGGATATACATAAAGTTATGCATGTTCCCCGGAACTGATAAGATTTCCCGGGGCGAAAGATAAAATTACGTATGCTAGACATTCTGAGATCCCTATGTGAGCAGGTGCAAATTAGAAAACTTCGACCGCGAATACATACAATATTACACATAATCTTATATCATAATAGTGGTATGTTATTAGGATTTTTGTCTTTCATTTTTATCTCGACCGTTTCGGGTCCGTATCGCCTCCGAGGTGATTCGTTAACGTGAACGGAATAATAATATTGTCGTCGTCGTTATTATTATAATTTTGTTTTTCTTTCCAAATCATATTATATAAATATTATTATAATTTACTCGCATTATATTCAGGTATTACACGGATCTGTGTGTGTGTATAATGTATATAAATCAGTGTGCATAAAACCAAAACTGTATTGTCGCGAGCGATGATTAATGATAATCGTATTCAAAACGATCACTGTTTAATAACAACGCTCGCGCGCAGTGCGTTCAAATTAATAAAACGTCCTAAACAAATCACGCCCACCTGTTGATCGGATCGGAAACCGTATACAGCGATAGCTCTGGAGGCTAGTAATGAAATCCCGATAAAAACCTTTGCATACACTCTTGAGTTAATCATAAATTTATTAATGTGAATTAATCGGGTTAAAAGTGTTTATATGTGTATATTATAATGTTGGCGAGAATTTTTACAGTTAATTGGACATCTCCGGAGGCTGTAATTTTTTGACGATAATTTATAACATCTACTATACTCGACTGTAGCGCTGGGTAGTATATTATATAATATTATAATATATAAGGCACTTGTCCTTCGAGATCGATTATTCGATTTAAACCCACTAAAATTTAATGCAGTTGAACAATTATTGTAATGACGGAATTTTATTGCATACCTCTACATCTATAGTAATATAATAATAATATCATATTATGTGGGTTAGACCGAGTCGTACGCGGTTCGCATTTTCGCAATGTGAACGAAATGTTTACACATAAATTATTATTACGCATTGCCGAAACGTTAGTTATTTCGGGGTCCCGAATAATACAACACATTTTTTATGATTTCATTGCGTACATTTAATTCACTTAGTTATGCGTAAATGTATTTATAATATTTATAAATTTATATGTACCTATACATATATTTGTTTTCAATTATGTTTAGGATATTTAATTAATTCGAGTTCCGAATACCAAAAAGTGCTCGAAATTTAATTAAACGTGCCGCAAAAGCTACGTCCCTTACAAAAACGTACGGTATTATAATGGCAAAACGCAGACCAAATATAATATTTTACAGCCCATTGTGATTGGTTAAGAATGTAACGTCATACATTTTGGAACAAGGCGTATTTTTTTGATGTGAAAACATCTTATGTGGCGTTCAGACTTTTCCGTTTGGGCAGTGAATTTTTTCGAGCGTTATTCGAGCGTTACCCTTTTCGCGTAACGCTAGCGCTTCCGACGTGCTGATTGGCGGAGACTCGGTGCGACGCGACGCAACGATAGGCCGCCTGTGCTCAGGGGGCGTGGCTTCATTACGATCACGGACATCGAACATAGTGCGGGCGAGAGCGTCAAATTAGTTCATCGTTGACAACCAACGTGAACAGTTAACTAAAAATGTATTGTATACATACAATATTACTATTTGATCACATGCGCAGGCGCGCAACTACGAACGCGTCGTACTCGTACATCGTCCGTTGTCGCGCGTTGGTAGTTCTCGAGGGCGTTTTTCGTTGATAAACACTATAAACAATAAACATGGTCCAGGGCTTGAAACCGTTATCAAAATTATCGGTTAAGAGGACGTCTCATCCGCATGTGTTGTCTCCGTCGTACACACATACGACATAGCAAATTTTCGTTGGCTAGTTTCAATAGGATATTGTCAGTTTTTATATTAGAGTGAATTGACCTATTATCAAACTTTTAGGTAAGAACAGTATCTGTGTTCTCTCGTTGGTTTTTTACGATATTTTAATTTTTAAGTGAGTTATGGGTATGTAAAGTATTCATATTCTAAAATGTTCATAACTCACTTAAAAATTAAAATATCGTAAAAAACCAACGAGAGAACACAAATAATGTTGTTACCTAAAAGTTTGATAATAGGTTGATTCACTCTAATATCAAAACTGACAATACCCTATTGAAACTAGCAAACGAAAATTTGCTATGTCGTACGTGTGTAAGACGGAGACAACACATCCGGGTGAGACGTCCTCTTAACGCTAGGAAATTCTATAACGTCGGTAAACGTTGAAACTTTGATAACAGAGAAATTCGAAATGTTTGTTTGCTAAGCAATAAAGTAAACATTTCAAACGCCATGATCCAGCGTTTTGCCTGTTCAGTAGTTCAGTTCCAACAACCAATACCTACCGTGGTTGAATTTGCTTAAACTTTTTAATCAAAAGTACCTACCTATATTTATTGATGTGAAAATCGTTTTGCATGACAGTGTAAATTTTCGTGCGTTACCTTTTTCGTAGGTACCGAGCAAATTTTCTATGGAGTTAATATTTTCGGACTTGTTATTTTTTTTTTTCAAAATTTTTCGAAAAACACCGAAAATTCTTTTGCCACTAACAGACTAATTATGATGTCAGACTGGGCGTCAACCTTGGGGGAAGGTCAAGATCGGAATTCCTGCCGAGCGAATTTTCTATGGAGGTAATATTTTCAGACTTGTAATTTTTTTCCATATTTTTCGAAAACCACCGAAAATTCGGTATATTTTTACTTTACCGGACACCTTTTTTTTTGCAATTTTTGTAATTGAAATATATGTAGGTAAGTACGCTGAAAACGATGGTGAAGTCAGAATTTGGGGCTCGGACTTAGTTTCGAAGTTATCGGCGAATGAAGTTCGCTATTTTAAGTTCACTGTGCCTATCATGAAGATTGATGCTAGAAAAGCATCACTGCCCATACTACGACATAACTTACCCTGTGACCTATTTAAGGTGGTGTTGCACAGCAAGTCGAGGGATATTTTCGATTTGCGGAGCGGAGCGACGGCGCCGAGGAGCGTAGCGACGAGTGCCGCTAGCAAGGCATCACTGCCCATACACGCGAATAATCACAAGTCCCAGCGCATGCGCAGTAAAGCCACAGATTATATGAAAACAGATTGTGCACTTCCTATGCACAACAAATTTTTTCAACTATTTTAATTTTTATTCACTATCAACTACAATTCTTATACATTATATAAGAATAAACATTTTTGGACTTCACTCGTCGTCGTCGTCGTCACCGCCGCGGCCGTCATTAAATATAACATTTTCGCAACAAATATACATTTTTAATTTAACTTAGGTGGATTTGGATAGCAGATCGAGGGATATTTTCGTTTTTAATTACCTGATAAAGTGGATAACCTCGCACCGTAATCTCCATAAAAGCACAAGTTTCAAAAACAAAAACATCAATCTTCATGATAGGCACAGTGAACTTAGAATAGCCAACTTCATTCGCCGATAACTTTGAAACTAAGTCCGAGCCCCAAAATCTGATTTCACCATAATTTTTTTCGTCAAAAATATGACAAAGTCCCCCAAAAAAAATCGCAAAAAAAAGGGTGTCCGGTAAAGTATAAAAGTTCCGAAAATTCTTTTGCCACTAACAGAGTGATTCGGACGTCAGTCTGGGCGTCAACATTGGGGGTAGGTCGAAATTGGAATTCATACCGAGCGAATTTTCTATGGAGGTGATATTTTCAGACTTGTGATTTATTTCCAAATTTTCCCTTCAAATTCTAAGCTCATATAATATATGTTTTCACATCTTACGAGGGTCGCTTGAGACACACGCGTTTTTTTTTGTTTTATTCTTACTTTGGAAATTTTAAAATATACATTTGTCAACAACCCAAAGGTAAATAGGGAAACTAAATAAATAAACGCGAGGCACCGCACATATGCATAATATAATACCGATAGTTATGTTCTTATATATGAGGTAGGTATACCCGTAACTTAAATAAAAAATGCTATCTTGTTTTTTTATTTCAGTCATATATTTTATTGTTGACTAAAAACATAATAAACAATAACAAAAATGTATTACTTGTCGTAAAATTGAAAATCGGTGTATTTAGATATACATTTTATTCAGATGTACCGTGGGAGCAACATAATAAACTGCGTACGTTTTACCTTTTTCGTAACACGATTCCAGACGATTACGATCCAAAAAATGGTTTTATTTTTTTTTCACCCCCAAACAATGCAATTGCCGACGATTTTGAATTCAAAATCGTCACACTTATACTTGATATCGAATAATTTTAATCACACACATTACATAATATATTGTAATGATCATGTTTAACTATTCATAAAATAGAATTTAGTTACAAATGAAATAAGAGTACTTAATAGCTGAAAATCCACTCTGAACCGTGATCCAAAAAAATTGTCGGCACGAAAATATTTTGTGAAATTCATATTTATACTCATCGGTGTTTACAGTATCTAACAGGCAGTGGCGTATTCAGGGGTGGTGGGCCTGCATCTTGATTCGCAATATATTATTACCTATTTACCTATATAATATGCTAATGGTCTATTTTATTTTTGTTCCAGGTGCACTTATTCTTCTCGGGCGTGCCCGAAGACAAAGTGCCGTACCTGAACTCGGCGGGCGAGCGGTACCGGGTAAGGCAGCTCCTGCAACAGTTGCCTCCACACGACAACGAGGTGCGGTACTGTCGGGGGCTGTCGGACGAAGAACGCAAAGAGCTGAGGCTGTTCAGCGCTCAGAGGAAACGCGACGCCCTGGGACGCGGCGTGGCCAAGCAGCTGGTCGCTGACGTGCCTTGTGCGAACGTAAGTCAAAAAACGATACATACCAATAATATAATAGGTATCTTATATTATACAGAGCGGTCGGTTTATGTTATGATAATATTATAGCAACGGATAATTTTCCAAGTCGACCTTTTTCGCGACGGCGACAGCGTTTTCTTTTTCGTATATTTATATGATCAAAACGATAATAAAGATAATAGCGGTTTAAAGTTTTCAAAAAAAAATGTAAAGATCCTATTGAAAACCACTGCTGCACGCGGGTACGATATGACGTGCAGGAACAATTATAAATACATATAAAATTAAAATCCAATAACGTTTCTCCTCTATCCAATGAGAACATTACAGTATAATCGTACGGTTAAACAGATCACTCTGTATACAATATCATAACAAAATATTATATTAAAATACGTACTATAGATAATATTATATAGGCGTATAGGAAATGTGATTATTTTTTTTTTTCATTTGCCTACGCACACAGCTTCCACAACAACTCGTTTGTAAAACGGTCGTTATTTCGTATATACATGTATACGCACGTGCTAACAGATTTCTATAATACCCGAGTAATATAATATATCACCGCGGTGTAGATAGGACATACGATATAAACGAAAAACATGTTAAAATAATATAAAACTGCATATAACCTACCTACCAGTGTTGCTGCAAGCGGTAAGTATATCATATTATACTGCAGGTGAGGTACACAGGTGCACGTCATCTACATTAACTCACATGTTAATACGTCAAGTCAAGTGTTAATATACGTTAACTCACATATTAATATGATATAACTCTGTATATGGATACCTATACTCGACGAGCGCATTGAACAGTCAATATACTATTATTTTGTTTTGATTGGCCCGACCGCCACGGGTGAGTGCGTATTATTACGGCCACATGCATATAATATAATCGAATTCGATAATGATGACCTAATTAAACGTCACGTTTTATAATAGCGGCGATACCGATTTGTGAAATGATTGTTTTGAGACATTTTGAACATTTGACATATAATATCCAAGTATAATATTCATGTGATGTTGTAAAACATACCTATCCTATAATATTATATTACACGCGCAGGGAACAGACCGCCGTGATACGCCTCAGAGTTATAATATACCGAGGCCTCGACATTTTATCGTACACATTAAAAAAAAAATATATGATAATAATAATAATTTTATATAGAACATAAGAATACCTAACATTTAAAAAACACTATATGTCATACAAAATTGCAAAACTAAATAGTTATCGATACTTATTCCTGTAAAATTGCATATTTTATTAAATATTACGATTAATGATCATTATACATTTAGACGTATTTAGGCTTATACAATAATTATCGAGCTCATTATTTGGATAAACCGATATAGGTAGTTTATAGGTACTTACACTACCACTTAACATTATGCGATACTACAGTAAATATTGTAAATACGTCATCGTACGAAAAACCTGTAAATAATGCATTGCAAGAATTGGGTGACGGATGTGCGCAACAGTAAACTGGCTTAGTAAACCTTGACTCACCACCCTTATCGGCTCTTATAATGTTTGATAAACGTGTGACACGGACCGGAAGTGATGAGGTTCGTGAATAGAATTCTATAGATTCGTTTTGCCGAGACGACTATTTACGCCTTCGCCAACGACCGCATACGAAAATCTCTCGGCTGATGGGGGGAAAGAAGTCGGCGACAATCGTGTTTTCCTCTGCACGCTGACTAACCGCAATGACACGGAAATTGTTGTGGTTACCCACTCACGAGTATACCGTATACAATATTATAATATTTTCCATCGGTCAGTCTTAGAGAAAATATCGTCGAGGACTGGCCGTAGAGAACAACACTATACAGTCGACGGTCACTGCCATTTTTCTTATAAAGATCTATAATACCAACGGATGATATCGCGGTTACCCGCGGTTACGAGGAACGTAAACCAACTAAACCATGTCGGCAATCCACGTTATATATGTTACGGAAGAAGTAGGAAATCGGAGGAACAAAAATAACTAAAACAGTGTCCAATTTTTAGTGAGTGCGATCAAGGTGGGAAAATGTCTTAATTGTCCGGACATTGTGTAAAGTGATAATTATAAAATTTTGCAAAGTAGATAAAAATATATTACAACATCGAACAGAGTAGCTAGCAGACGAAACAATTAAAAAATATACTATATTATTTTTTAAACGAACCACAATAATTATGACTTGAGCATTATGGACTTAAAATATTAAATTGGATTAAACCATTTTTATACTTTGCTTGTAACATAACATAATAAAATATACACTATGTATGTCCAGGAGTCTGTAATCGCGATAATCTCCGTCAAGTAGTCTAATAAAAAGTCGATCGTCGCTGCCAGTCTTTTTATCCCCGACCGAGCACCGCTTCCATTCGATACTCGATCGAACCCTATGTCGAGTCTTCGTCCGCCCAATGTGTCCCTCACTGAGTATGGACAGACGACAATTATTTCAAATGACGAAAAATCTGCGGCTGTGTCATCACCAAACCTTGCTGTTCCTCCACGGCTCCACACACGGAACCGGAATACCGGATGAAGTCGTTTCCGTATTTTGCGTGCACGTATTTATTTTTTTTCCGTTCGTACGGCCACTCAAGCCGGCGCTCACGAATTGCCTCTGAAACGCATTCTGTTGTACAATCATCAGTAATCAAGCTCAAAGCTCAAGCAGTCGATTTCACGATTTCCGGAATCCACAGCTATAAATCTCACAGGCTGTCAGTGGTCAGAAATAATATTATGCAAACTCGTTGTCGACCAACCTTATTAGGTATAACTTATAATAATATGATGTAGATGCCTGATACCTATAAAAAATATGACATCTATTGTAAACATAATGTGGTTACCGTCTTATATTTGGAAGGCATATTTTCAAAAAGCTATGACCAACTTCGAGCCAATAATTTGTCTACTCGTCTGCATGTGTCTAAACTATATTTTAGCACTGTGATCTCTCGATATTATTGTGATTTCGGCACTGTACTCGTACTCACAACATGTGTATTATAATATGTATAACGATAAAATTATGTTAAAATAATTATCCACCCAGGGTTTTATGATATCGTTGATTGCTTTATCTTACCCATTGTAAAAAAATTAATTAATAATATAATAATCTCACTGTTAAAAATATGTTTATTTATAGCCACTAAATAGTACACTAGAAGAGGTAAGTAATACGTACTCCTATATTTAAAAAAAAAATGATATTAATGAATTTTAAATACTTCTAAGAATCCTGTTTTCTCATAAATTTATACAACATAGAAAAATATCATATTAAAAAAAATCCACCTTAAATAATTTTCCACCCGAGGTAACTTAACACCACGCTGGTTTCATAAAACAAATAGCGTTTTCGTTCCGCTTTGCGGAATCTAAAACGTTTATACGAAAAAAAATTAATTATTAAAACAGTTTAATATTTAATCACAACGATATAACAATATGACTATAAAGACAGTAGCAATGGATACAAATAGGAGATGAATAAAATATAATACGTTATGATATATAAAACTATAAACATTTTACATTTTACTGCAGGTTAGGTTAGGTTAGGTTAGGTTATTTAGGGGCCTCAGATTTGCCCATTACTTTTATCATTATAGGGCATAAATTACCTAAAAAAATCGATGATTATTTAGCGAGGGAAAAAGCTTGTAAGTTATAATTTATAAATAAAGTGATAGGTACATTATTCATTATTTATTGCTACTTAACTAATACCTATATATATTTATTATAACCGGTACCTAATATTAAATAATATAATATACATTATTTTTTTTTTCGTACAGGGGCCTTACTGTAAACTGGCCTCTGGGCTTCAAAATGTCTTAATCAGGGCTTGATTAAAGGTATTATCCAAAACTGCCATTGTAATTTACATGTAAAACTCAAATTAGTAATAATGTACCTAGTTTATACCCATAAATGTAATTCTTACATTGTACCTTAATTTATTTATAATTTATAAAATATATGTTATTTAAGATAATATTGTACATTAAATTACATTAATTCTAATACACAAAAGTACCCAACTAATATTATTATGGGAACAATACTTCCAAGTTCCGGGGAAATATGAATGCAGTTTGTCAATTGATATCCTTTTATTACTTTAAAAAATCAAAATTATTTAGTAACATAGACATTTAAGATTTTTAAACAATTGTAATTTATACAAATAATTTTTAGGAGTCTTATTTCAAAAACGGATATAATGTCAGATCTAAAATGTTAAATATGTATAATAGATTAATATATTCACTTTAATTATATAGGCCATCTATATCTTATACTCTTATATTTAATAATTAATTTCACTTTTTTGGGGGGGTTCAAAGGTACTCAAACGATGCCCTTGTGTGTACAGTAAACCTTTGTATATAGGTACTACGATTAAATTATAAGATTCCTATGCGTTTTAAATTTAATGATCATCAAACAATTAATGTGTACAAATATATTGTACTTGTATTTGTATGTCAGCCGGTAACTTTGAAAACTGGGTTAATCGTAAATATGATATAATTTTTTTTTCTGAAAACATTTGAAATTTGCTAATAATTAATATACTTGAATTAATAAAATTAATACATTAAATATAATATAAGGTAAGTAAATTTCAACATTATACTAATTCGATATAAATTTATAAATTTATTTTACAAGCAGTGTTATACTCTGATTAGTGATACTGATTATAAATATACATACATAATGTATGTAGATACATATATATAAATGTAGCCCAAAGGTATTATTTAAAATTGATAAAATATGTTAATCAATAAACATTTTGTGTTTGAGTGACAGTTTTTTTCCAAAACCTTTTACGGGTAACAGTGATAACTAGAAATGTACTTAATATTTTGTCACCAATGAAAATGTACGAATATTTATTTTACCACTACAGTGGATTACAAATGTATGCAATATT